CATTATCTTTATATGGAAAAGAAATAAATGAAAAGGACGGAAGACGTTTTTTACACAAAATGGTCCTAAACAAAAAACACTTCGACAAACTTTTCCATCTTCATTTTCACACTTCCCACAGTGAGTATTAACTGTTCTCGACTTGTCCAGACCATTTATTCACAGCACTTTCAAGCATATCCGACCAGCTACCCTCCAGGTCTGGCAATAGTAGACTTCTATTAGGAATAGCATAGTAACGCTAATCTGATCACAGCCACAATCAATCATAAGAGCGTCATCTTTTCCTGTGCAGATAGAGCTTTTTGAGAACTACAAAATGATCATAAATTATGAAACAAAATATACTGTGCTCGAAAAATCTCAAGAACCACAATATCAAAAGTCTAGGGAAAAACCAACGGTCTGCATAACATATTCCACAAGATCTCGAGTATCCATAATTGAAACTGTTATCAATTTTCCATCGGAAAAATAGTGGATGAATAGCTTAAAACCTACTAAAGCGAGTTGGTAAGTAGGTTTGCTTTGAAAAGTTTCAAAAGTTTGGAGAGAATCAGGTAATCTGTCTTTAGCGATGATGCAGTTCTCGAATTGGATCAAAATCATTATTGGGGTGTGGGTGTGGGTGTGAGATGTGGATGTAAGAAAACAGCAACACCCACACCCACACCCACACTCGAGCATCAGCGAATAGACTACCCACACTCACCCCACACCCACGCCCACACCCCAAACAGCTAAGACATCATCAGTACGATTTGTTTTTTTCTTATTATTATAATAAACATTGTACCGTTGTCAAATATGCTGCACATCATTAAAAAATGTTTTCTAAAACAGAGAAAACTATTATATTGTTTAATATTGAAGTATGTGTTATGAAATACAGGAATGAATGAAATAGTTCAATAGAGGAATTTTTGTTTAGATACAAGAAGCAAACAAAACTTTCGTCGTGCCATATACTAACCAATGCAATAGTTATGTAGGTGAGATCAGTAAAATAAATAGATTATTACTTCCAATTCTTTGACAATAGTTTTGATTTATACTTTATTCATTCGAAAAATGTGTAACAGAAAAAGAAATTTTATTTTCTAAAAATATTCTAACCACTGATGTTTTATTGTTCTCTATAATTCATAAAGAATCGGTATGCTACTTCTGTTTCTTCACATTTGCGATTCACAGAAGAAATGTATTTTGATGCAGGACATGTTTAAAAAAATGTTTTCATTGAAAAATTTTTTTTTGCTTATGTTTGCCAACAGTTGACAAAAAACGACTAGGATCATTTGTACATTTTTGTTAAAACTAAAATCAAAAGTAATATGGAAAACAGGTATGTTTTTCTTTTTATTGGAAAATGAGAGAAAAATAGCATTACTATAAAAATGCTTCTGTAAAAAAACAAAGAGACATTAACAAAGAAGTAAGTAAACAGAAGCAGAACTAATGCAGTTTTATTATTGTTGCCATCGAGTTTTTTCTTTTTGCACTCTTGTCTGTGCTGTAACTGGCAATCTGAAAAAAAAATATGTAAACGACTGATTGCTGAAGGCACGTAATCTTACAATTTTTTTCGTTTTTCTTTGTTTCTTTCAATGTGTAAACATCTCATCAAGAGCTTTTTTACTACTATATTTTCGAATTTATGTCAATAAAACTCGTTGAAATTAGTTCAACACTGTTCAGTACTTTGTATCAATTCCGTTTCTCTGCATGGTTATTGGGTGTGGGTGTCGGTCTTCTCGTAACACATTCACACTCACACCCACACCCTGTAACAGTGATGTAGTGCTATTTTTTCTAGAGTTTTTACGATGTTGAATGTGAGTATTGCTTTTTTTTTGACACTCAAGAAGAAACTTCACCAAGTTTCAATATGAAATATGATTGTCAATTACCAACGAAAAAGTAAAAAAGAATGCAACTACGTCATTTGTTGTACAGTTATTCTTTCCGACTTTTGTTTGCTTTTCATCTGCATAGTGATTTCAGTGTCATTGCATTGAATACCTGGTCTCAAAGTTGTTTTTACTGTTCTTTAATCCTCTCAAAATGACTGCTTTCTCTTTCTTTTGTTGACAGAGGCGAAAAGCAGCTAAGGCATCATCGGTACGATTTGTTTTTTCTTATTATTACAATAAACATTGTATCCTTGTCAAATATGCTGCACATCATCAAATAATATTTTCTAATACAGAAAAACTAGGGTGTGTGTGGGTGTGGGTAAGAGTGTTGTTCTTTTATTAACTCACACCCCACACCCACACCCATCTGAATGGATAGATTTTGTAGGAAGAAAGAATCCAAAAAAGATAAATATCAGCAGCCCTTCCGCTCACACCCCACGCCCATACCCGAAAAACAACTTGTTTGAAAGTTATTTTCTATGAATTTCTATTTAATAAAGAAAGTTTGTTAGTAAGAGACTAAATATAGAAAAATAAAAATAAAATTAATCTAACTATGCAATTGAATAAATAACACGGTCTACTTGTTGAATAGCTTGCGACTTTTTCTCACCAATAAGTTTAGCTAATTTAAAAGCGTATTTAACAAAGATAATCTATTAAATTAAAAAAGGAAAATTTTTCTGTAATTTAACAAAGAAAAAGAAAATGCTTACTGCAAGAATGAAAACCACAATATAGATCGTGGCACGAATCACAGGACTGCTATGCTTGGTTTTTTCAGCAAGACTTTTCTCTTTATCACCAAGAATTAATGTGCCTGTCGAACTTTCTGTATATGACTTTATCAATGAAGGTATAACAACAATAAAAATTACAAAAGAAACACCAACCAAATCAAATATAGACAACCATGCAATCTAAATAATATTTTATTCAAATGAGTGTTATTTAAATCTTTTTTCGACAAGCATTTTTCATTAAAATCTGAATGATCCTATTTGAAAAGATCTTTATCCATTATTCAATAATAATCTGTTCTATGAAATATCTCTTAAAAAAGCACATTAGTTCTTGAAAACCATGAAAATGTAATTTATCTTGTAGAGCATCACGCATTATACATACAGTAAAAAATTATTTTCCCATATCATTCCGTTATGAAGACATATGATGGATACATTTAGCTGGAGATTTAGAAAAATCCACAATATACTGAATTTTGTGATTTTCACATTACGACGATAGTATGGTCGAAAACTAGTTCTGCTCTCTATGATCTGCTGACTCCAACAGTATATACTGCATTTTTTTTCTTTTTATCGATCTACGAAACTTTTTACGGTTATCCAACTCTAATTAAATGTAGAAATTTTATAACTCTCGAATAACCGATGTGAAACAGTTTGGATTGAGAATCAGATTAAAAGTCGATTTTAATTTGATGCTGAATCCAAAGTTTTCAAATGGGAAGACTAGCTATGGATAACGCCGTCTGTATAGATCGAAAAACAAGGACTTTTCTGTTGGACAGTCGTATGAACACTGTACTCTGAATACAAATATCCTCACCAAAAACTCAGATAATTTGACAATTAATGATCAATGATGTTTTGATATACCTTAGTTGTCGTGTGTCCTCGTTCTTGATTGACAGTAATCGCAGATCACTAGCTACTAAGTTATTGGAGATGTGGTCTTGAAGCAATAACCATTGTACTTCAAACTTTTAGCATTTACAGAAATTATGGCTATCCATCATTCTTAGAATTTTTAGCATTATATCTCAAAATGTTCCGATAGAACTAAGTTTAATTAATTTTGAGTGATATATAGCGCTCATGTTTGATATGTGGTACAGAAGATTACTAGAATTTGAAAGTGAAACTATATCTCACTCCATTCAGAATTTTATATCAAGCAAAACCATATATAACTCAGATTTACAGTCGAAGATAAAACTTGAATATTTCTTCCATTCAAAACGACATGGAAATCGCATTAAGATACTGTATCAGATTTGCTTCTAAACTGACCAGGACACTTTAGCATCATTAATAGCTATTAAGAGTAGTAAAAATAGAATTCATTGATAATTTCAAAGTGGAAACATAATTGGTAAAAATTAAAACATGTACTGCATTCATTGGAATTCAAATCATCAGTATTAGAAAATTTTGTCGTGCGATCTATCGAAAAACTATCTGAAGTTTTGTGTTCGACTATAAATTTGAGCTATAAAACATATTTATAGTTTTGTTCGACATAAAATTCCGAATCGAATGATATGTAGCTTCATTTTCAAATCCTAGAGATTTTCTGTAACACATATCAAACATAAGCGCTATACATCACTCAAAAATAAATTAAACTGAATTCTATCGAAACATTTTGAGATAGAAAGCTAAAACTTCTAAGAATGACTGATAGTAACAGCTTCTATAATAGGGACCTTTTTTTCTATTGATTTATAATAAACAGGTCATATTCTGTATAAATTTTAAAAAAAACAATAGTTCAATGCATTTCGAGTTGAGCTGAGCTTTCAAATATAGAGTTTGATAGAGCAAAATCTGCTCTACAAAATGCACTTATAACGACGAGACTTAGAAATATAACTTAAGAGACTCGGTTTGCTACATTATAGTTTTGACAAACTTCTGATAAAGTCAAAGAAAAAGTTATCGAGGATCAAATAAAGTAAGAATGTATCGAATCTCAGAAAACAAGGCTACATAATCAGCATTAGTGTTCGGCCACACTATGACTAAAAAACTGAGTGACCGCAAGGTTTAGCAGCTTTTACGTTTTTTGGAACCTCCACCTACATTTGTAAACAATATGTTTTCATGAATCAACGATGTATCGGAGGCTAATCTTTTCAATGTATGCATAACTCCTCATACTCTACAAGTTAGAGCTTTTGATTAAAATAGAAATCATTTAGTCACAATGTTTTAGATAATAATCTAAGATGAAAACCAAAAAAGTAAAATAAATAAATCTTACCACTCTTAAGCCTATTTCAGAATAGCGAAAAGCAGACATTAATCCTAATGTAAAGAACATAATTGCAGCTATTCATTCACCAAATTCTTTAAGACGTCCATTTGTTATTGGGCTATATTGAATCATATCGAAAAATAGCGAATAAATTAAACCATTTATACAAAGTGCCTTATATAAATATTATTTCATAAAAAAATTATTCAATCTATTTCTTCAAGCAAGAAACTTACAAGACAAATGCCACAAAAAACCAAAACAATTTTTCGTATTCGTCCTATTTCTGGATCTGTAGTTATTAATAATTGTTTTGAAAGAGGTGAAGTTGGGATAGTTGTCATCATGACTCTGCCATTGTTTTCATTATATTCCATTGTAAAATTTCGTTGTATTCAATATCTTAAAGAAATCAAAATTAAATGAAAATATCAATTTATGTTAAATGGAATTTGAATGATATTCGATTTTTCTGCTTGATTGTTTATTTTGATCAATGAAACATAATACAAAAATAATGATAAGTATTATCTGTAATTTTTATCTCATAGCGAAAACGTATTCTAACAATAGAAATTTGCGTTTCCAACATAGAAATATTTCGATAAGGAAATTCCAATGTGTGTAATTCGAGAATTTTTTTATAGATGAGAAGTTTTACGAACTAATAAGAAAAAAACTTCTATTAATCGATTTTGATCATAAAAACAAATGCAAACGGTGACCAGTGCTTGTTAATTGATATTCGTGATTTACTTTCCAAATAATCGTGCCATCATCTTAGCCGTACTAAACACAAGAGTGATGTCGATGTATAGTAACATATTTCATCGAGTTTTATGTCTTAAACACAGATTTGAAGTTAGTTTCGTGGTTTTGGGAAATATTTTAGGCTTTCTATGGATAGAATAAATGATCACCAAATGAAATATACAGTGAAATTCATGCTGACTTGATCTCCGAAGTTTTTAGTCTTGTCCATTCACTATTAAGAAATGCGTCTCTATGAAACCTATATTTAGTCAAAAACAGAATGGTAGTATTGCATGAACCAGATGAAGACAAGTTCACAATACCACCATC